TTTTTGTCTTTTTAATTAAAATAATTTTGTAAAAAAAATGGATGTGTCCACGTGATACACCATTTGGGTTTTTTTTTACCTTTCCTTTTTTTTATTTTTAATTAGATAAATTTTACAATGAAATGTGTTAATTTATAGAGATGCCAAAACAGTCTGCATCGATAAATTTTGATACATCTCAATTTGATAAGGGATAATTTTTTTAAATTGGTATCGAGTTAAAATGAGTAGAGTTTTTTAAAAGAGAAAATAGATCAGGTCAAAAGCATATTTAGAGTATTTTGTCCAAATCCATTTCAAGGTATATATAAAAAAAATATTATTTATTTTTATACATGAATATGTATTATATTAATAAAATAATTTTTTACTTTAATTTAAAAAATTAATATTTTAAACTCAATCTAGGTTATCAATGTGTCACCCTCTAAAACTCTTTTTTTTTCTTTTTTTAATTTTTTAATTTATCAATTTATCAATTTTTTCATTTTTTGTATTTATTTTTTATTAAATCAATTTTATGAGAAAAAGAAGTCAATTAAGATGTCCATGTTTCATTCTTTTTTTTTTTTACCTTTCATATTTTTTTAATTAGATAAATTTTATAAAAGAATGCGATAAATAAATATGGTAAAATAAAAAAAAAAAGATTGACTCGCAATAACGTGTGGGCACCTTTCTAATTATTTATTAATCAAGCAATTGTAAATTAAAAATAATTCAAATGATTGACTTTTTTTAAGATGCCAATTAACACAATAATTTATAAAAGTGTTGAAATTTTCAATAGAAATGTATTCTATAATAAAGTCACACAAAATCAATCACACAAACCATATAATATTTATGTAGTTCGACACCAATTACCTACATTCACAGATAAGATAAAAAATTTATTAGAAAAATAAAGATTATAAAGAGTATAAAACACAAAAAAAAAAATCAAGTTTCGAAACAAATCTAGTTTTTCGTACTCTTAATGTTTAAACCACAAAATATTATGATCTTTTCTTATTTAATCTAGTTTCCCATTTAATCTAGTGTTTTCTCCACCTCTTCCTCACATCCTTACAAACTCATTTCTCACATAAAGATTATGTATCTCTTATAATTTTATGATTAAGACCCATTCCATTTTTATAAAGTTACATTACTTTATCACTAAAAAATCTTATTCATTAAGAACTTCAACTCTTTAAGTATAGTTACCCTTTAAAAAAACTTAATTATCAAGTACTTCTTCAACTAGTAAAATTTTATTAAAATCCATACTAATTTTCAATTGAATTTGAGTCAACATATAACAAATCTTCATCTTAACACAAATTTTATCAAAACATTGACTTTAAAAATCTTGATTACACATAATGAAATCAATCATAAGTCCTCCTATTTCACACAACAAACCCAATAGCCATGTGTAGCCAAATCAACTTCACCTAGTTTACTCTAAAAAGGAATATCGATTTAACCTCTCTCGACAAGAATTGTCTTTCATTATTGTTTGCATTTAGAGGCCAAATTTATTGAGATCAATTGTTTGCATCTATGGAGATTATTTGTTTTCTCTATCAATTTCTCACAGACAAAATCCATACATTTTTCTTCAAACCAACATGCCATTAAAAATTATGTACCAATCACCATAGACAAGAGTATAATATATCACGAAAAGTGTCAATACCTCTAGAGTAGTGAGAAAACCTATAAAATATTCAATGTCTCCGTTCGTATAACTCAGGATTTGTATTTGCTTTTTAGATTTTCAATAACACTAATTCTCATCGAGATCTAAAAATTTGTTGAAGCACCATAAGATCAAACTGATAATTACTTCACTTTGTAACAGACACTTTGTTGCAGCAAATCTCCTATTGCATCTTTCTTATCCATAATGTTAAAGCACCATTTATTAAATTGAGAATTACTTCACTTGCAACTAACACTTTGTTGTAGGAAATCTTCTCTTACATGACTTCGATCTCATGAATAAAATTCACAACAACAAATCCTTTCAAATCGAATCATTATCTTTGCATCATGCTTCATGATTGCATCATGATCATTCTTGAACATGGCTTTGATACCCCTTGCTGAGATTTCCTAATAAAAAGGTAATCCACAATAGGATCACACAAAATTAATCATAAATAAGAGATAATAATTAATGTGATTTGGCCCAATTGTCTATATCCACGAATAAGAGGAAAAAATTAATTATAAATGAAAAGATTACAAATAGTAAAAAAAAAAAAAAAACACTAATCCCTGAGTCTTGAAACAAACCTAGTTTTCATACTCTTTAGTGTCATGAAATGTCATTTATCTCATATAGCCTAATGTTTTCTACAACTCTTCCTTTCATCCCTAGAAACCTTTATCACAAAGAGATTACATCTTTTTTTTAATTCTAAATATTAAAATTTATTTCATTTTTATAGAGCCACATTACTTGATTACTAATAAATCTTATTTACTAATGTTTCATTTAGAAGACTAATGGGAAATCCAATCCAAACAAAGCATAAGAATTCAAATGTATTAAATATTTTTATTTTTTAAATAAATTTAATCACCAAATAATTATTTACTTAATAGAAAAACATTGAAACCAAATTGATTCTCCTTTAAAATTTGAATAATTATTGATTAAACTTATGATAATAATGTTAGAATATTTTCATAAGTGAGCTACTATTAATTGATAATTTTAATATTTTAATAAAACAATTGATAAATTTAATTCTAATATGAGATGAATATGAAAATATAAAAAATTTAAAATGATCGATTATGTGTAAGCTTTGCACATTTATTGGATCAGTGTGGTTTTATAATTGTGTTGGCCTTTGGCCAATAAATCGTTGATGAAAAGATTTCAATGATTTTAATGAAAATAAGCTAGTTCCCTTATTCACATTTAACAAATACATTATCTATCAATTGAGAACCACTATTAAGATAAACGTGAAAAGGAAGACTTAGTTACTCCAAGAACGATTTTGCTTTCGTTTATCGATCATGTCCATCCAAATAGGTATGTAAATTCACTTTGTTTGTTCATGTTGTTCTTATAATGATCCTGTAGTTGATGTTTATGTGGTATAAAAGTATCATTATGTTATATAAAGACCCAAAAATTTATAATTTGAATTTTATTTTACATGAATTGCTCATTTAGGACGAAATTTTTAGTTGTTGGAATCTTTTTTTTTTATTTTTATTTCTCAAAACTAACTTAGGGCTTTGTTATTCCTTGTGAGATGATTAAAATCATATATAGAATGATTTTTAATTCGTCCTATAAAGAGAAAAATCGATGTTTATACATTCAAGGCAAGTTTTAATCCAGATGCAAGTTTTTTATTTTATGTGCTTTATCCCAAATTATCCGATAAAAATAAAAGCTAATCTTGTCCAAAGCCACATAAATGTATATTGTTGCTTTTGACCAAAAGGCTAAAGCCAATATCCATTACACGTAGGAGTGATAAAGGTTTAAATCTGATTGGATTTAGGTTTTGCAAATAATGCATAGTATTATAAATTTTTAAAATTTAATCCGAATTCAAATCAACCTTCTTTTGAAACCAAACATAATCAAATTTTATTGTTTGATTTGATTCATCAATTTTTAAATTGAATTATTTTAATTTTTTGATATTATTTTAATATAATTTTAATATATTTTAATATATTTATATATAAAATAATTATTTTATTTTATAAAAATTTAAAAAATATATAAAAACTAATAAAAATATATAATTGGGTACATTTGATTTTTTTTTTTTTTACTTTCCAAATTGAAATCCGATTCTATCCTAATAAAAACATTTAATACTATACTTAAATTGAACCAAATAAAAAAAATCAATATAAACTGAGTATTACAATTTTGAATTAATTTTCATTTTTCTCAATTTTTTTCTCACCCTAATTAATGCATATCAATTTGTTATTATCCATGCCATAACTTATCACTCCAATCGACCAAGAATCACCCTTTTCTATTTTTCATAAGGATTAACTTTTCAAAAAAATTAAAACTAAACATTTATATTTAGAAAAGTAAAAAATGACACATTTAATAGTAAAAATAAAAAATAAATTGCTTTTTTCAAATATAAACTAATATATTTATATTATTATTGATGTTTTTATTATTCATTTTTTGCTTTCTTGGCAAATATTAAATAAATAATATTAAAAATAAATTGTTTATGGCAAAAACAACAATAAATAAATAGTAAAAAACAAAACAAAAAACAAATAGAAAAGAGTTAATATTATTAGTGTTATACATTACCACTCAACCATATAATGATATCTCATTAATAAATAAAATAAAAATAATAAAATCCTTAAAAACAAATATTGAAAAAATATATGATAACTTCACTCATTTAATTTTAGGGTGAATTTCAAAAACCTCTAATAATATATTGAAAAGCCACAAATCCCCTCTTATTTCAAAACAACTCTTTATTTCCTTACTTCAAAGTTTATTAATCAAACCATTACCTATATGACAACCCATAGCAAAATTTGGCATATCATATATTAGTGTAATGTAAGATATTAATAATTTGTATATTCATATTTTATTTTATACGAAAATTTTATAACAATTTTTGTCCACACAAAAGCACTATATATATATTTTTATTTTATTAAACATATATATGATTTTTATTAAAATTTTAAATTATATCAAATTCATATATATAATATATTATGTATCATTTTCATATTCTATCATTGTATCTTGTATTTCATTTGTGTTGTGTTTCATATTTTTGTTAAACTCATAATTGTATATGTGTTGTGTTTCATATTTTTATTAAACTCATATATCAATTTTGCTACAATTTAGTTTTTATTTTTTTTTAAAGAGTTACGGACACGAAAATTACTTATATTTATTAAATATTCATAAAAATAAAAATAAAAATAAATTTAAAATATCCATTAAATATGAGTACATGAATAAGTCTAATATATAATCCGAAAATGAGGATAAAAAATGGTCTACCCATTTTATACCCTACTCCTTAACATTTCTATATAGAACAAACACAAAATAAGCTGATAACATTGATTATCAAATGTAAAATGAAAATAGCATGTTTTGGTTGCATTCGGTGCACTAAATTATGAATATAATAGAATAAGATGATTGTCATCCTACAAATATAATTTTATTTTATTTAATCTTATCATAATCTTATAAACCAAACACAACCTTAATTGATTAGGTTAATGTTCATTAAAGAAGCTGAAACAAATTATAGACCATACTGACAAACCTATTTGCCTCTTCATCAGATAAGAACCAGCTTTCAGTATCAAGTATTTCAAAAAAACAACAAACAAGCGACGGAGTATAATTAGGAGTTTGCAAACGGCAAAAGAAGATAGCAAGTTTTGGGTGCATTTGATGCACAAGTTGATGAATAAAATTAGACAAGATGATCATCATCCGACAAATATAATCTTATTTTATCCTATTTCTATCTATAATCTTATGCACTAAACACAACCTTCAATGATTAAGTTAATGTTCATTAAAAAGGACAAAAAACAAATTATAAGCCAGACTGACGGACCTAGTTGCCTTTTCCATCAGATAAGCGCCAGCCTTCAGATATAAAGGTTTTTCAACAAAAAGAACGCAAACAAAACACAGAATACAATTAGGAGCTGGAACTCAAGCAAACCGTCACAAAAAAAAAAAAAAATGTTGGAAAGTCCAAACAAGTACAAAGAGATGACCCACCCAAACATGAACAGTTGATTATGTGTGTATACAGCATTAATGAAAGGATTCAAAGAAGCCTCTTCAATTGTCTTGACAATTGCAATTGAAGAGAAAATCTCTACGATGAAACCTAAAATGGTGAAAATTTTTTAATTGCAAGCATAAAGAAAAATAGAGTAACTCTGTTAAACTTGCTGTCAAGAAATTGGCATATCTAGAGTAAAGGTAAAAAGAAGGAAAAGGAAAATTGGTAGAGAGACAAGACAAGAGGGAGAATGTGAAGGACATTACTCCTCACTTTTTGTTTTCTTCTTTGATTTACCTTTGTGAGAACGCTCTGCGGGCCCTGAAAGAGTAGATGTACTGTCACCTCTCCCTGAAGCTATTATAGACCGGTCCAGGGACCTGGTTGATTCATGGGCATTTCTATGCTCTGATGACCCAGGAAATGGAGTTGTCTCATGACTCTGTGCTGGCTGGTTCATGGATCCTGTAGATTCATGATCATGCTTTCTTTTTGACGGCTTAGATAGCTCATTGATTCCAGAGAAAGTACTTTTATGTCGACTACTATGTGTGCTGACAGTACGCCCCCAAGACTCTGAATTTTTCCGCCCTTTACTTTTCATAGGAGTAACAAAAGGATTGGAAGAATTAGTCATTAAGGTTCCAGAAGCTTTTAGATACACCAGTTTCTTGTCAGAACTGAGCTTTTCATACTCTTCAGGGTTCATGTAATGTACAAGGGAAACTCGTTGTGAAATCTTTCCAACTATCAAGAAAGAAACCTATATCAGGGAAATGCACAAATTTATTTGCAATACAGAACTAAATTCGAACAGTTTAGTCATCAATATCACAACCAAGGAACCACACTATGACCAAATTACTGACAACAACACTAATGATGAATATCAAATTGTGCTCAACCAAAATCCTCAAATTATCTATATTGTAGACAAAAAGGAGTACATAAAATTAACAGACCTATGCGGTTTTCTGACTTTGAGCAAAGGATCAGAGTCGAATAGCAATAACTTATACTAAGATAATTAATTAACTAAGTAATAATTAGCCTAAAGAATAAACGTACTACAAACACGTGCAAGATGCATGCATGAAATATATACTGTCAACCATTCTCAAACTGAAGCCTCTAGTTACATAAAACAATTACAAAATATTAACAGCCTCGTAAAATAGAGTGAATACAACCACCTAGATGTATAACAATGTCTGAATACATTAAAATAGCAGTTTGATATCTAATAATAGGAAGACAAATTCGGTCAATTCTAACAGACATACATGAATGCCTGAGTAGTTTCGTCAGAATCTAGAAATCCAATCCAAGTGTCCAATTCAATGAACAAGCCTACCCAATTAAGTGTCTAGACAATACAGAAACATAAAAGAAGAACTGACCCACCTATGATCAAAAAATATAATGATAAAAACATTCTTGCTTTGGGAGGTCCAGGACACCTTTCATTCTTTTTTTTTTTTATAAAAGAACGTGTTTAGTGCAGTCACTGACAGCATATATAAGCACTGTTTGTTTTGAACTTAAATAAAGAAAAGTAAATGATGCAAGCACAAAAATAAAAATGCAAAATTTAGTACCAATTTTAGACTCTGATTCAGAGGATAAGATAACTGTTGCATCTGGCTCTTTAGATGCACTACTAACAAGATCATATGCTTTTCCTGCCATATTTAAGTAATTGCAGTATTACTTCAAAACATTCATATAAATTTCAACTGAAAATATAGAAAATTATAGTTCAGCTTCAGACTCAACAAAATTGTACAAAGGTACATATAGATAAATACCAGTAGAATCTATAAAACTGCCCAACTTTCCATCAGGACCGAGCTGAAGAGTAAATTCCTGGCCATTAATTTCAGGATGCTGCAACAACCGCAACATAACAAAATAAAAATCCTAACTTCAGTTCAAATTAATTTAAAAAAAGGAAGAGCATCAGCTAAGCATAAAGGAACTGAAAAATGAATGGTACTTGATGAAGAGGCCATTGAATAAGGAAAAGCTCCGTAGAGTCCGACAAAGTAAGATCGACAAGTGGCTCCGACGAATCTTCTTCGAATTCTGGCGGAGGCCTATAACTGCTTACTTCAGAATCCATATTTCAACAAACTGAATGTACAAAATATCTCAAACAATCAACATTTTAAATTAAAAAACTAAGAGAAGAAGAAATAAGAAGAAATAAGAAGAAATTAATAATTATATATAATAAAAAACGTAACAACGGGAGTGGTGGGTTAGGGTTGGGTAGATGGAGGGGGGAGGAAGTCGGAGCGCGGCTAGATACGGGAGGGAGTGTGTGAAACAATAATTTTATAGCCCTTAAAAATCTAGCGGATCACATTTTCTCTTATGATCTGACGGTTGAAGTTGGTTAGGAATATATACAATTTCAAAGTTTTTTTTTTTCTTCTAATGTCAGGCTTAAGCGGAATTTTTTTAAATACTAAAAAGCTTTTTGAATTATTTTAATTTTTTAAGTGATCTCAGATATTTTACTGTACTCAAATGCTGTTTATATTTTGATTTGTTTTTAAATAAATTTTTATTTTAAATAAAAATAATTTATATTAAAAATTTATTTATGTTCGAATTAAAGATTAAAAATTTATTTATTAAAAATTAAAAATTAATATAAATTAATACTTAATATAATTAAAATATGGGCTGTATCTAAATAAATTGATAACATTTAAAGTTTATTATTATTTTAGCTGTTTTTTTTTTTTTTTTAATATCCTTTTCAAAGGGGTACCCTTAATTTAGGAATGGAAGAATGGCATGTTCACCCTTTTTTAAGTACTTGTACCTGAACCTATTATTTATCAACATAGTCGAGCTGAATTCTGCACAAATAATATAAGACAATAGTCGATACCAAAGTCGTAAAATACCCGATTATTAAATCAAAATTTGATTATTAAATAATCAAAATCGTTTCATGAGTATCAGATTAACACTCAAAATTATTTTGCATCTAATCTACATAACAATAAGTAAAGGTATAAAATTGAATATAAAATTAAAAATTAAAAATTGTTGTTCACTTTTGATTAAAAGAAACAATAAACAAGATTTAAATGTTTCATACAAATAAGATAACAAAATATAATAAATAACCATTTATATAGATCAAATAATTTAAAATATGACACTATGATATGATATAAAGACATAATATGAAAATAACAAAAAAAAAAAAGAGACAATAATTAAAATTTTAATAAAAATCATATAGATTTAATAAAAACAAAAAAAATGTATTTTGTGTATTTTGTATTGATATAAATTATGACATGTAATTTTTATATAAAATATGATAAGAATAATTATACCTAAATTTATATAATATAAATTCATTCAAAACTAAAAAATTAAAAATTCATTATTTGAAATCTCATTCTCAACATGGGAAAGTATTATAAGGAATTAATCAATCAAGTTAAATTCATTTTAATATGTAAGCAAATAGAGAATATCTCCCAATTTAAAATCTCATTACAATGCTAATTCAAAAATTAAAAAAGTTGTTTTAGGGTTAATTTATTTTAATTGTTTTAGCTGTAAAAAGTTTGGATTAAAAAAATGTATTTAAAAAGTGTAATAAAAAAATATGACTAAAAATTTTAAGTGTTTGGTATTACTGTGAAAAAATATTATGAGTAATTGAAATGTTTAAAAAATATGTATTAAATAATAAAATATTAGAATATAAGGATAATAAAATAATTTTTTATCTCAAATATACTTTTTTACCACAAAAGTGCGCTTTCAAGCAATTTTGGTTTATGTTAGAAAACCAAGCTTTTAAATTGAAAACTAAAATTTTTTTGTTATTTAGCAATGCGTTTTGATAAAAAGTAGTTTTTAAACACAAATGCCACTTTCAACAATAATGTTAAATGAGGCCTTAGTCAAGCCAATATAAACTTAATGGACCACCCAAATTGTTTTTGAATCCTAGAGCAAAAACATTTCACTAGGGTATTGTTTGATATGGGTTAATTACTTCAAAAACTATGGTGATCTACATGTGGTGATTAGATCATTATGTTTAGTAAGCACTTAGAAGATCACTGAGAGTGATCAAATCACTGTTTGGAGGGTGATATAGTTCTCATATAAAAGAGTGGAAAACTTTTATCTTTGAGATGAAGTGATATATAAAATTAACAACAGTTAATTTTAGTTATTTAATATTTGAATTAAATACTTGCTGCATCTAAAAATTGTAATTATTTTATTTTATAATTTTTTATATTTTCAAACTAATATTTATTAGAACAAGTTTAAAAACAATTTGTGTATTTTTTACTTTTTTAATATTTTATATATAATATAATTTTTTGTTTTTCTTTTATTATGAATTTAATAGATTGGTTTTATTTTTTAATTCAAATATTTTTTACATAATTTATATGGAAAAAATCAATCTACATATCAATAAATATATTTAATAATTTAATAATTATTTTGTTATAAAATAAATAAATATTACAAATATTTTACAAATTATTATCTTTAAACAACCATAAAATTATTACTTTGTGTAACTATTACAATATACATGATTATTTTTGTATCTTTAAACAAAATAATATTTGATTTTTAGTAATGCCAAATACAGTGATTTTTAATTCCTAAGAATTAATGATTGTTAATCAAACAAAATAATTTCAAATTATTAGTGTTAATATCACTTTGGTAATAAGATTACTTTGATGATTATATTATCATGGTGGTTTTGCCAAAGATACCAAACACTATTTAAGGGTGATAATTCATGGTAACAAAAGTAGTACAAGACAGTTGACAGTGTGCAAAATAGTAAGCTTCCTAATAACAATTTACATCCAATTCCAGATTATGTGCAATAACTTCTATAATATTGGTTGATATATTGGCTTATCTATAGTCATAATCTTTGCTGCATTGTTTATCATTTATTCTTTCCTTATTGCATGTATATTATTATTATTATTATTATTATACAACTAAAACACTATCAAAATATTGAGAGAGAGTAAATTCATAAAAATGTTTCTAAACTTTTTTATGGTATCAAAGTCGTAGGAGAATTGTTTTTTTTTTAGCTCTTAAAGCATCTTTTGCATCATCTACTTCCCTTACCATTCAAACCATAGCACAAATTTCAACTATGGTCACAAAAAAATTGACTACCAAGAATTATGTAACTTGGCAAAACCAAGTACTTCCTCAAATAGAAAAAGTTTTTATGGCAAACCATATTCTGGATGACTCAAAAGTTCCTACAACCATTATCACATCTTCTAATGGCAATGAAGAATTAAATCTTGCTTTTTCTAAATGGCAATAAGAACATAAGCTTGTCAAAAGCCTTATCAGAGTAACACTATTCTTTGCACAATTCTTGTGAAAGATCTATACGTTATGACAATTATCATTTGAAGTTTGTCTTTTCACCGTTAGGCTATCTTTGGCTAGGGAAATATGGAAAATTTTAAAGGAACGCTTTGTAAACTCCTTAAACAAGGAGTATGAGATTTTTTATGAAAACTACAAAAAGTTCAAAGGGATGAACATCCCACACTTTAGGCATATATACAACAAATGAAGATGATTAGCAATGAACTTGCTTTAATCAATTAACTTATGGATGATAATGACAAAGTGTTCTGGTCACTTAATGGACTTGATGATAAGTATGAAACTTTGGTCACTATTCTGCAAGTTCATTTTCCATCTCCTTCATTTGATGAATTCACAAACTTGTTATCTAATTATGAGAACCATCATAAAATCATGTTTGTTAATGACAAACAACTATTGTTGAAAATTGAGGTCGAGGGCGTTCTAGCAGCCATAATTTTCAAGGCCATTCCAATCCTAAAAGAAAAATATTTTCCCATGACTGTAAAAGTAGCAATAGAGGTTTGAACTTTAATGCTTCGTAATGAAATTCGCAAAAATCAAACCATGTTCAATGATACACTGTTTTTTGTTAAATATGTCACAAACTTGGACAAAAAGCTTTGTAATGTATGAAAGATTCAACCATACGTATCAATAAAAGGATGTCCTAAAAGTTCTTATTGCATTGTCTATACATTACGTTGATGATTTTGACTAGATTATAAACACTAGAGCAACCTCTCATCTCACAAATGATGGAGATAACTTTACAAATTTTAGACTTTATAAAGGAACATCTAGAATCATTGTGGGAGATGGTAAGAAACTCAACATCACTCATATAAGAGATGCTTCAATTCATACATCCTTCAGGCAATTTGTTACTTAAACATGTGTTAGTGGTTCCATATATTACTACAAATCTAATTTCTATTGATTAGTTATATGATGACTCACCATGTATATTTGTTATCTTTTCAACCTTCGATTTTGTTATTAAGAACAAGAAGACTTGGAAAAATAATGGCAAACAGGGTTAAAAAGATGGTTTTTTTTTATTCATAGGCAAGACAATATGGCTTTCTTTTTAGTTAGAGAAAGAAAGATGACTCAACGAGTTTGACACTAATTGTTAGGTCATCCCAATAAAAAATATTAAAGTATCTCAGCTATAAAAATTTTATTTCTGTCCAAAAAGCAAATGAAGTTTCTATTTGTTCAAGTTGTCAAGTGGGAAAATTGTGCAAATTGTCATATATGCTTAGAAATGAATGTAATAGCTTTCCTTTTCAAAAATTACATTGTGACTTTTAGGGTCTACCCTCTATGCATCGTCCTATGGGTTCAAATATTCTGTTACATCTGTGGATGATTTCTTTAAATATGCTTGGCTTTTTTTCTTTGAAATGAAAGTTCGATTTCCTTAAATGTTTTAAGACTTTCATGCATGTGATTGATACACAATTTGAAAAGAAAATTAAAGTTTTTCAAAGTGATGGTGAAAATGAGTTTAACAAGAATGAATTTCTTTCACTTCTAGTTGACAGTGGCATCATTCGACATATTTCTTGTCCTCATACAACAAAGCAAAATGGCACAATGTAAAGGAAACATAAGCATGTCATCGAATGGGCTTTAACTTAATTATTTCATAGCCATGCACCTAAACAGTTATGGTTAAAAACAACCTAAACAATTGTATTTCTTATCAATTGAACTTTACAACAACTTTAAATATGAGTTCATCATACAAAATCCTTTTTGGGAAAGATCTAAATTATTTAATCTTAAGAAGTTTTAGCTATCGTAGTTATCCTTACTTAAGAGATTATAGAGAAAATAAGTTTTCTCCTAAGAGCCTTTCACGTATCTTTATTGGTTATAGCCAAAATCATATGAGGTATAGGTGTTTTCATGTTCCCACTAGTCATATATATTTTA